TCCTAGGGGTTAGATCGGGGCATGTCTCCCTTATCTTTGTGTCCCCTGTACCTGGCACAGTGCCTGGTACCCGGTGAAGTTCATGAAATGTTTACTGAATAAAGGAATAAACCAGCCTCGTAGCTAAGAGAGCTGTTAGTTGACTCACTGTCATGGCAAAGGCAGGACTAGAGTCCAGTCTTCTGACTTTTCCCTCATTTACAGTTTCTGGCGTGGGGGTTCTACTCCCACCTGGACTAACTCAATTGCATGAAGCTTTTATCAGTCTGTTTACTAGTTTGTTCCTTTTTCTTTTTGATTTCTCTAAATTGTGTTTGCATGATAAATAAATGCTGTACTCTTCTAATGGTATTTTATCCAACAAAACACAGTGTTTTAAAAAGAAGGGGAAAATATATACACGTACATGAGTGCAAGGCTCATTAGCATCACCTGGCCTAAACCTTGGAATGTTCCAGAATTCCAGGTGCTCTGCCATTTGCCATCAAGGCCACACATGTGAAGGCTTAGGTCTTGACCATGTAGGATTAAGAAGCATAATTCATAATACTTTTAGTCCAGAGTTCCCCAAATGTTTTGTTCTTACAAATGGCCTTTACTGTTTTTTCCAGGGACTCCATGGTTTAAGACATATTGGTGACCAGAAGTACCCAATATCTCATCAGAAGAGAGAGCAGAGAATAGGGAAACTGCCATTTCCTGGGCACCATTGGGGAGTTAATCACTGTGCTAATGTTTCTGGTTTCATGGTCCTCTCTACCACACAGTGCTGGACGATCTTCTTAGCTTTGAGTTATAAACAAGGAAACTAAGGTCACAGAGCAAATGAGAAGAGAGAGAGGGTTTGGTCTTAGGCTCTCCAGCAGGACGTGATAACTTCAGAACTTTTGAAGTGCATACAGAGATGATGTGATTACAACTTCTGTGAAGGCAATTGTGGCAGGTTCAAGGCCTTTCCCTTCTGTTTAGTTCTCAATAGGTTCAAGCCTCCACATTTGCCCTACAGTTTATATTTTGATACCACTTTATAGAGACCTTAAAGAAAGTCCTTTCATAGATCCTTTCCTAGCCCCTGAGACTCCATTTTTGACATTATCCAAGTTGTTGTTGTTATGTGCCATCGAGTCAGTCCTGACTTATGGCGACCCCTCCTTGGGTTTCCAAGGCAGTATCACTACAGAAGTAGATTGGCCAGTCTTCCTTATGAGGAGTGGCTGGTGGGTTTGAACCACCAGCCTTCTGGTTAGCATTCAAGTGCCTTAGGCACTACACTACCAGAGCTCTGTATTAGCCATTTTTTCTACCAGGACAATGTGTCATTTTGTTTGGTTGTGGAATAGCTTCTCAAGACCCCAAAAGAGAAATATGAAAGAGGAAACCTCTCAGTAGTGACAGGTTATACGGTTGGATTCCCTTAGTGAGTCTACCTTGCACGGTTCCCATGTAGTGCTAAAGGGTCTTGAGAGATGCCATGTTCCAAGCACTGGGTCAGTCCCTAAGGAAAACAGTTATTGAGGACCTAAGGCTCCAGGGCTTTTCAGAAGTGGACTTGATAGTAGTAATCACAGTAAGGAATGCTGCAGCCTGGTCAAGCTCAGGACAAGTCCCAGGGGAGTGTGTCTTGAGCTGCCACTCTGGCCACACAAAGCATCGCTGGGCTGTGCAAGGCTTTGGCTGCCTTGCCTGAAGGTTACCAGCTGGGAGGTTGTTGTTCACGAAGGATGGTCTTGGTGGTGCTTTCCTACCCTTTTTCCTGTTCATGTATCTTAGTTTCTCTCTGGGCATGTCTCCTCCTGCATTGTCTTCTTCATTGTCTTTTCTTTGTCTCTTGTCTTCCTTCATCTCTCTTACTCAGAGTCCCTGGCTGCAGACTTTTTATAGAACCAAAGAATGTTTGTTGGATTGTTTTCTTTAAAAATTGATTCTCTAAAATGGTCATTTTCTTAATCTCAGTAGTTCTTCAGATTGAAGGTGAATTGGTTTTGGTCTTCAATTACCCTTTTAAAAAAGAAAAATAATGGTCACTTGTTGGATGGGACAGTGAAGATTTCTTATCCTCAACCTCAATAAATATTTTTTTGCCTTATTTTTAAATATAGGAGGGAAAAAAAGGTATTTTGGCCTAATGATACATATATAATGTTAGTTCCCATTTTATCATACTTGAATTCTGTGTTAAAATGTCTCTTTAGGAGTGAGTACCCATATTATTTTAAGTTTTTGCAAAATTACTTTCTAGGGTCTTTGTTTATTTAAATCTATAAAAGGTGTTGTGGGAAGTTTGCCAGTGAACTCACGTTTCCATAGCACGAGAGCTGGATTCAGTCTTAGAACTATAATCAGGTTTTATTTTACTTAGATCCCAAGTCCTGAAAGCAAATACAGGTAGTCCCCAACTTATGACAGGGCTCCATTCCGACAACTCCATCCTAAGTTGGTTGTCATGTAAGTCAAATGACTTTTTTTTATTTTTTTTGTTTAGTTTTCAGTATTATTGCCTTTTATTATCAGTATCTTTATATACCCAATCTCTGAACATCTGCAAGTGACTATCTGAGAACGATAACATCAGGAAATTATGTATGTAGTGCATATTACTGATGATAAAATACACCAGACACACACACCAGACCATCTTTAAGTGCAGCTTGTCATACTTTGAATAAATTGTAAGTTGGGGACTACCTGTACCTAAAATGTTTTAAAAACCACTCACACATACAGAGAACTGTTTTAATTCAGAGCAAAAGACTTTTCTGAATTTTTTTTTAAATACTCTTTCTTTTATATTCTTGAGTCCCAACTCATAGGGTCTCTTAAGGATAATTTCTGATTTCAAATTCTTTTTGTCAAATACCTCCTCCTCTTATTTATTTACTTATTTTTAAGTTTCTCTACAAGGACACAGTTATCTCGAGAATCTTTCTTTTCTCCTTTCTCAAAGCTCAACTTCAATGAAACAAATAGTACATGTATGTGAACAATTATAACAATGTGGGCTAATTAAGATTCTTTTCCAATTTAAAACGGAATTCTACCTTGAAGTTTTACTTTGTACTTGATATTTCAAAGGAGCTCTGGTGGTGTAGTGCCTAAGGCATTTGACTGCTAACCAGAAGGCTGGTGGTTCAAATCCGCCAGCCAGCCCTCAGAAGGAAGATTGAGCAATCTACTTCTGTAGATATACTGCCTTGGAAACCTAAGGAGGAGTCACTATGAGTCGAATCAACTCGATGGCAGTGAGTACCTAAGTTATACTTGGAGCTCTGGTAGCACAGTGCCTCAGGCATCTGACTGCTAACCAGAAGGTTGGTGGTTCAAACCCACCAGCTACTCCATGGAAGGAAGTCTGAACAATCTACTTTGGTAAAGATTTACTGCCTCGGAAACCCAGTGGGGGTCACAGTGAGTCGGAATTGACCTGATGGCAGTGGGTATCATTATACTTACCAATACTTCTACAATGGTGATTGTACACCTTTTTTTGTTGATTGGCCCCTTTGAGAATATGAGGACAGTTGTGCATCTTGTCCCCAGGAAACCTCTCGTATGCACGTAACACTGCACCCCATTTTAAGGTGCTCACGGATCCCCTCAGCGAGCAAGTGAAGACTCTCCTATGTTACTGATTTTCTCATCAGTGAAAATTGACCCTTCTTTAGGGGGTGGAGTAAGAAGAGGAGTAGGGGATTGGCCGGCATTCTTCTTATATTATAAGAGAAAATACTATTTTAAAAATAAACACAATGGTCTGAGTTCTTTTTTATTTTGTAAAACTGCAGTTCAGGTGCCTCACCCCCAAAAGAAGGCAACAAGGACACCAACTGTGCAGCACAGATAATGGATCTAAATTTGCAATAGCTTTGTTCCACAGTGTCCTTAAGAGTTAAATGCATTCTTTCAACATATGGAACCGTTAAAACAGCTATTCTACACAGTTTTAGAAACTGTGTTAATGTTGTGAGCAAACATTAGGGGTCAATGGACCCTTTTCATTTGCAAAGAACATTAGTTGAAAAGTTCCCATTGTTGATTCATTATCCTAAGACAGAGGGGATTTACTTGACAGGTCAGTGGAACATATTCATAAGGGTGCCCCCCTAGGTTTTATTAGCTTCAATAAACCTAAGCTTACGTGTAAAATATTGGAATACTCGCTCAGCACGGTAGAAAGACAAATGTTGCCTTGTTGTCTGAGGTGAATGGAAGGAGCTGTTTAAACTCAAAGACTGATTACAAGAGTTCTCCCAGCAAGTCAAGGTTTTATGCTTGGTTCCTGATTGGTTTTAGAAAATCATTTCATGATCAAATACTAATTTGTGAAGAGATGTGTGTGGCATGGAAACAGAGCTTTTTATGAATCAGAAGAGTTCATGTTAGATGTTTGGAACTAGATTTTGTGAGGTTCAGTCTCAGCACAGGCCATGTGTGCTCCCAGCTAGTCCCCACGCCCTGCATTGTCCTTTCTCCTTCTGCGTGAAAATAATTTGACTCCAGCTTTTCTACGCCCTTAGTTATGGACATTCCCGTTTTCCAGACCAGCACATTGAGAAATACCATCCCTAATTTCACCTCCACCTGGAGAAAACAATTATTTGTTTAATAGAGGGGAAAAAGGTTAATATGGAATTAGTTGTGCTAGGCATTCAGTACTTGGAAGCGTATTGTTTGCTTTTACGCCCACATGAGAAAATAACTATACTATGTTTCTAATACATATGGACTTTTCCTTGTTTAGTAGTTTGTTTTGGTAATTGCAGTGCTATCTCTTCCCCTCATTCGATTTTGCAGATGACAGTGTAGATCTACACTAGAATGAGCTAGCTAGTTACTTTTAGAGTTAATTTGTTCCCTAACCCATTCTGTGAATATCAATGCTAACAACAGTGTCTTGTATTTTTTGTTTGTTTTTGTTTTTTAATTTCCTTTTCTTCTTCTTCTTCTTTTTTTTTTTTTTTAAATCAATGTGCTTTTTCCTATGTGGATAATTACATGTCTAGAAACAGCCATGGCGTGATCTTGCTGTTCTGAATGGGGGAAAGATTAATAGTGACATTTGGAAGGCAAGTATCTTGTCAGCTTTTAGATCATTTCATATCTTTGTTTCCTGTTTGCATGGCTGTGGCTGCGTATTTTTCTTCTTCATGAATATCATGCATTCTGCAGGGATGAAGTGAGGGGGCTTCTTGCTAGGGACGGTCAGCTCACATATGTGTGGCCTCTTTTCTGATGTCTCCCATTGTGAATGACTTCCAGCTGTCGGCCCAGGTTACCTGCTGTAAGAACAAAGTGCTTGCACCAAGTCAACTCCCAGCAGCCCTTGCATGCTTTTTTCTGCCCTCGCTCACCTAGATTGTGTGCCCCTTGGCTCGGAGAACTTGTCTCCTTCTTGATATTTGAGGGGTTGTAACAACTTCCTCCTTCAGCCTACATTAGCAGGTGTCTGTTTTCCTCTAGGATTTGCACGCAGCCACTGTGAACCCAGACCCCAGTTTAAAAGAGTTTGAAGGAGCAACGCTACGCTATGCATCTTTGAAACTCAGGTAAGGACACTGGGAAGGTCTGCTGCAATATGTGGCTTTGTGAAGCTGGAACTTGTACCTGAATTCTAAGTCCAATGTCATGCTTTTCTTTATAGAAATGTCCCACACGCTGATGATGACGATTCCTGTAGCATCAACAGCGACCCAGAAGCCAAGGTTTGTAAGAAGTGTGCTTTCAACCACCAGGCTGTGGTCTTGCATCCAAAACATTACTTTTGATAATGGCCCAGCTGTTGCAGACCACCAGCCCAGAGCCACTTACTAGTTAATCATCCTCAACTCTCTCCATTTCCTAACCTCCCTCATATTTTAAGCAAATCTCTAGGTCAGGCTAGGGTTGGGAGGATTTTTGTCACTGTCAGGACTCTGCCTGTGTTTTACTGCATCACCTTTTTGCAGTGGCAGAAAGCTAACCATTATAGTTCACATGGGTGGGTTCAGGAGGCTTTAAAGATGAACCAGGTTCTGCCTTGAAAAGCAATAGGAGTGTTGGTTGACCAGACAGGTACAAGACCCCTTACAACCCCCTCCTCCAGGAGAAGCCTCACACCTGTGCAAGATGAAACCATGTTGCCAGCCCAGTCCTAAGCACAGGTGGAAGGCTATGTGTTTTATGATGGCAAGTGAGCAGAAACTCATGGCCATTTTGTGTCTAGACTTCTATTGGGCCACTGCCAGGGCCAGCTTGTGGGGCTGTGGCCAGTGCAGTTAACAGAAGGCCTGCGCTGAGAAGGGCCCTGTGCATGGGCTTTAATGCTGTTCCGTCGCCGTCTTGAAATTCTTCCTAATGTTAGCTTTGCATTTGAGTTTTGTAAGTGAAGTCTGCTGAGTCAGAATCAGCTCGATGGCAACAGGTTTAGGTGATGTCCAGTGGGACAGTGGAGTCTGCACTAGGGTTTGGAGCCTTGGTTCACACAGGGCCTGCCACCCCCCTGAGTCCCAAAAACAAGTTCTTGGGTACCTGCCTCTCTGTCCCTGATGCCCTGGGCCTTGCCAGACCCCACCACCACCACCACCACTGTCCTCTGCCACAGCAGGGGCCTGGGCATGGCATGGGGAGGGTTTGGGTTGTGTGTGCCCCATAGTGTCTCAGGGCATGGTGGTGGCTGGCCCAGTCCAGGCTAGCAGTAGGCATGCATTCAATAAGCACCTCAGCAAGGGTGAGACCTCTCGCCTATTCCCAATCCAGGTACCTAGAGTGTCCCAGTACCCAGATTACAGTACACTTGGGCCACCTGTCTGCCATGGGTTGGAGTGGTGAGCACATGGGAAGGGGGGACTGCTGGCTCAGTTTCCCCACACCCAGCCAGGGCATGGTGTGTCTGTCCAAGGTTGGCAGGAGAGCAAACCCAGAGACTGATGGTCTGAACATGTGTCCTAAGTCCTGGGCAAGGACCCCAGGTACCTGTTACAGTCTCTACTCATTCTGCAAGTACCCCATGACATTAAGTAGCAATTTAAAAACACCCTAATAGGTCGAGTGGGAGACTGCTAGAGAATGGAGAAAACTTTGTGGGCTAGTCCCTTTGACTGCCTCCGCCCCAGCTTTTTGAACAAAGGTCCTGTGTTTTCATTTAACCCCGATCTTTGCAAATCATGTCACTGGTCTTGGGTGCCAGCCACTACAGAATGCCATGGTGTGCAGCTCAACCCCTTATTCTCCCCTTCCCTTTACCTCCTGTGTCATGGAGAAGGAAGGCAACCTTCCAGACCCCTTTTTATTTTTTCTGAATCCCAAAGCAAGTCTGTCTCTGTGAATAAAATACCAAATAGGTTCCCTTCCTAGGAGTTAAGTGGGTAACACCATGCAGGTTCAAAACCTTGACTCCCTGGCCTGCAGCTGCCTTATCAGTTGCCTGCTGGTTCTGTCGGAATCCCAGAGCTTCGTGAAACCTCTGCTCCCCATAGTGTACTCAGCTTCATTCTAGCGCAGCCTGAGAGGAGGACAGCCACTCCAGAGCATACTGAACAAGTCCTTGGGCTGCTGTTAGCATGCTGGACCTTTAAAGATAAATTTTATGGCAAGAAATGGACGTGTTAAAACAGCAAGGCGGGCTGTGAGTCATTTGCTTTGCTAGCAGGTATTTGACAAGATCCGTGAGCAAAGACTAGAGGAGTTGGGGGAGCAACAGCAGTATCTGTCCCCACCACTGAGGCCCAGAACACTGATGTCTGTGAGGCCAGGCTGGGAAATGGACGGGACTGGGCGGGGCAGATGCTTCAAGGAATAGCGGTAACATTGGTAATGGAATAGGAGGCAGGGTTGAAATGTTACTGCTGTCTGTGGGTCAGGCTTTCTTCTTTTTCCTCCCCAGTTGTGTTACTTACTAAATGCTTTCTCTGCCAGCCGCCACCTTTCTGTTGCCAGTCTTCTCTCAACGCCTGTTAAGATCTGTTCCTTTTAATAAGGAGGCTCAGCTTGGTCATAAGCTATAGACAACCGTCCTTAGTTCTAAATAAAATGTGCATGTGTTTATTTTTATTTGTTCCACAAAAGATCTGAGGAGACTTAGGAGAACAAATATTGTGTTTGTTTTTAAGAGCAGATAATAGAAGGAAATAATCAGCATCAGACTGGACCGGGACAATATATAGAGTAGGGAAAGATCAGACTAGGGAGAAGAAAAACTATGGCTTTTCATAACCAGAAGGTCGGTGGTTCAAACCCACCAGCTGCTCTGCGGGAGAAAGACGAGGCAGTCTACTTCCATAAAGATTTATAGCCTTGGAAACCCAGTGGGGGTCACTATAAGTTGGAATCAGCTCCCGATGGCAGTATTTTTTTAATTTAATTTTATTTGTTTTTGAGATCAAAGCATCCCACACAGTTTCTGATGTTCGTCTGTGTATTTGTTTTTAGGTCTCCTGATTATTTACATTGCGTTTTCTCAAGGGTGGGCAGCACAGATCCCTGGAAAGGCATGTTGTGGATGGAATTTTGTTCCCCCAGAGTATGTGTTGGAAGAGGGGTTACCTGTGCCTATGGAGATCATCCCATTTGGGAGTAGGGTTTTCTTTGCTGTTAATGAAGTCCTAAGAGTGTGGCGTGTGACAAAAACCTGACCACTTCTGAGACATGAAAAGAGCAGGTTGGGCCCAATGAGGTGAGCACAGCCTGGGGAGGACAGATGCCATGTCAGGGTCACCAAGGAACCCAGAAACACAAGGTTAGACAAACAAAGACAAGGATTTTCTTCCAGAGCCATGAGAGTGGCTTCCCCCAGAACCAGAGCTCTGAATTCAGACTTCCAGCCTCCTAAACTGTGAGAAAATAAATTTGTGTTCGTTGAAGTCACCCACTTGTGGTATGTCTGTTACAGCAGCACTAGTCCCCTAAGACAGGGGCAAATCAGAATCATGAGGGGACTTCTGCAAACTACACGTGCTCCCAATCACCCCATCCAGTCCTAGATTTTGTAAGTCCCATCCCAGTGTTGAGGGCACTGTCACCAGTGGGAATGTGTTGAAGACCACAAGAGTGTTGTGTGGGAAGATGGGTTTCAGAACACTGCTCTGTAGCAATCACAGTGCATAAGGTAGGAATACCCTACTAGACACGTTTGTCTAGTGCTTTGTCTAAAATAATTACAATGGTCTTTGTTGTTGTTGTTGTTGTTATGTGCCATCGAGTCAGACCCTCCTCATAGCGACCCTACTTGGGTTTCCGAGGCAGTATCACTACAGAAGTAGATTGCCCAATCTTCCTTCCAAGGAGTGGCTGGTGGGTTTGAACCACCAGCCTTCTGGTTAGCAGTCAAGTGCCTTAGACACTATGCTACCAGAGCTCCAAATGGTCTTTATTGAGTGTTAACTTTTTATCAGGCACTATTTTAAGGACTTTATACTGACTTTCATCCTTAGAAAACTCTTGGGGGCTAAGTATCATTATCTCCATACTGCAGATGAACAAACTGAGACATGGAATTATAAACAGCTAGTAAGTAGTAGAGCCAGGATTTGAACCCAGGTCACTGGCTCCAGAGCCCATGCTTACTAGACTGTCTCTCTTAAAAGAATACACACTGGGCCACCACCTAATGATGTTGGCAGCCTCCCAACAATGTATATTGTTGTTAGTTGCTGTTGAGTTGAACCTAACTCATGGCAACCTTGTGTAGAAGAGAATGAAACATTACTTGTTCCTGTGCCATCTTCATGATCCTTGGTAAGTTTGAGTCTGTTGTTGCAGCTGTTGTATCAGTCCGTCTCATTGAAGCTTTCCCTCATTTTCACTGACTGCTCCTAACATGATGTCCTTTCCTAGTGAATGGTCTTCCCTGATTACATGTTCAGAGTAAGTGTTAACCATCCTCACTTCTAAGAAGCATTCTGTTGTATTTCTTACAAGATTGTTTGTTCTTCATACGTATCTATAAAATTGGACTTTACATTTTCATAGAATTACTCACTGAGCAAAAGGCAGACACCGAAGCAAAACTCATTTCAAGTAAATTGGTGGAAGACTGTGACAGTGTGGTCCAGGTTTCCAGCTTTCTGCTCTGACTTGAGGCCAGAATAAACTTTAGGCTCCAGAAGTACAAGTGGAACGGGTGAGCCACAGACTTTTCCACACCATCCCTCATTAGTATAATTTCACCTAAGCTTAGGATACACGTTGGGCTGGGATGGGAGGAAGCAGGCTAGTGTAGACGTAACCTGCATTGCTGGGATGGGAGCGCCACACGTCTTAGATCCACCGGCCACACTAATGGCAGGTCAATGCCACTTGGCAGAGTTTGGGGAATCTTGGTGTGCTTCTCCTCTGGATGCATGGTTACCCCACCTCTCAGTAGAAGTGGGCCAGGGAAACCCTGTGGGCAAAGCCAAGATGTCCTTTCAGAATTAAAATATAGATCAAAATCCAGTTGTTGTTGTTGTTGTTGTTTGCCGTCGAGTCGGTAGGATTTTGCAAAATTTTCCTAAATTGGAACCCCCCCTACTCCCCATTGGTGGTAAGAATGTAAAATGGTGCAGCCACTATGGAAAATAGTTTGGCGGTTGCTGAAAAAAGTCAAACATAAAATTACCATATGACCCAACAGTCCACTCCCACGTATATACCCAGAAGGAATGAAAGTAGAGACTCAAATAGATACTTATATACCGATGTTCAGGAGCTCTGGTAGCATAGTGCCTAAGGCACTTGACTGCTAACC